AGAATTATCTCAATTAAACAACCTATTGCTATAGCTTAAGGAACTAGGAAAACAAGAACAAAATCCAAACTTAAGCTGGGTGTGCTGGTGCCTGCCTGTAATCCCTCCACTTAGGAGGCTGAGAAAGTAGGATCACTGCAAGTTCAAGGCTAGCCTGGGCTACAAAGTGAGTTCACTGCCAGCCTGAATTGCATAGTGTTAATAGCAGCAGCAGCAGCAACAACAAGAAGGTCAACTCATGGGGCTGGGGATTTAGCTCAGTGGTTCCACTGCCTGCGTCACAAGCGCAAGGACTGAGTTCGATCCCGGGTACCAAAAAAAAAAAAAGAAGGTCAATTCAAAATTAGTAGGAAACAATAAAGATCAGAGTAGAAATAAATGAAACGGAGATCAAAAAACCCCCCAAAAGATCAATGAAATGAAAAGCTGGCTTTTTGAAAAAATAAACAGAATAGACTTTAATTTAGACTAAGAAAAGGAAAGAGAAGACTAATGAATAAAATAAGAGATGAGAAAGGAGACATTACAATTGATACAACAGAAATACAAAAGACCACTAGAAATTCTTATGAACAATCATATGCCAACCATAATCTAGAAGAAACAGACAAATTTCTAGACACATACACTTTTGCAAGACTGAAAAGGCCAAAAACAAATAATTAAACTGAATCAAAAATATAAAGCCTCCTATCAAAGGAAAGTTTTTCAGAGGGCTTCAGTGATAAATTACATTAAACATTCAAAGAAGAATAGCAACTTTCCTTGTTATTCCAAAATTCAGAAGAGGGAGGAATTTTTCAAACCCATTCCATGAGGCCAGGATTGCCCAGATACCAAAACCTGATAAACACACACACACACAGACACACAGACACACACACACACACACATGCACACGGGGGTGGGGCAGGGCTAGGGGTGACCATCTGCCAATATTCTTGTTGAACACAGATGCAGAGATCCTCAACAAAACACTAGCAGACCAAATCAAACAGCATGTTTAAAAGATTACTTACAACGAATAAGTGAGATTCATCCCAAGGATATAAGGATTGTTCGCTACTCTATGGATCAATCAACATGATACATCACAGCAGTGGAATGAAGGACAAAAACCATACGGTCATCTCAACAGATTAAGAAAAGGTATTTGATAAGATTTAACATCCTTTTATGATACAAATGCAGAATTCAGGAATAGAAGGAATGTATGGCAACATGATAAAAGCCATTTATAAGTTAACAGCTAACATTGTACTGAATAGGGAAAAGTTGAAAGCATTCTATCGAAGATCTGGAACAAGATAAAGACGCCTACTTTTACCATTTTTATTCAACATAGTTCTTAAAGTCTTAGCCAGAGCAAACAGACAAAAGAAAGAAATAAGGGGCATCCAAACTGGAAAAGAAGAAGTTAAATTGTGACATGATCTTATATATAGGAACTCCCCCAAACCTACCAAAAAAACTATTACAATAAATGAATTCATCAAAGTTGCAAGCCATAAATCAACTTACAAAAATCAGGAGCATTGTTATATGCCAATAGTGAATGATCTGCAATACAAATGAACAAAGCAATTCCATTTATAACAGCTACAAATAAAATAAAACATCTAAAAATAAATTTAACCAAAGAGGTGAAAGATGTCAACAACGGAAATTATAAAATGTTGATGAAGACATGGAAGAAAACACAAAAAAAGTAGAAAGACATTATGTGTTAGTGAGTTGAAAGAAACACTGTTAAAATGTCCATACTATTTAAGTAATCCACAGATTCAATACAGAGCTAGAAAAAAATTTCTAAGGTTTATATGCAGTTACACACACACACACACACACACACACACACACCCATAAACACCCAAATAGCCAAAGCCATCTTGAGCAAAAAGAAGAAAGTAGCATTACACTCCCTGACTTCAAAACATACTACAAAGCCAAAGTTACTGAACAGCATGGCACTGGCATAAAAATAGACACACAGATCAACGGAACAGAACAGATGGCCCAGAAGTGGAGAGCCAACTGATTTCTGGCAAAAGTGCAATGAACACATATTGGAGAAAGAGTTTTTTCAATAAATGGTGCTGGGAAACCTAGATATCCACATGCAGAAAAATGAAACTAGATGCCTATCTCTCACAAATTACAAAAAATTAACCCAAATGGATTAAAGATATAACTGTAAGTTTAGAACTTTGAAACTACTAGAAGAAAACATAAGAGGAAATGCTTCATGAATATTTGAATGGGCAAAAGATATTTGGAAAAGACTTCCAAAGCACAGGACAAAAAAGCAAAAATAGACAAAATTAAATTATATCAAACTAAAAAGCTTCAAAACAGCAAAGGAAACAATCAACAGAGTGAAGAGAAACTATAAAAATGGGAGAAAATATTTATAAACTATATATCTGACAAAGGGTTGACATCCAGAATACATAACAAACAAAAACCTGATTAAAATAGGCAATCAATCTAAATAGACGTTTTTCAAAAGAAGGCATAGAAATGGCTAACAGGTATCTGAAAAAATTAAACTATCGATCATCAAGGAAATGGAAATAAATCAAAATGACAATGAGATATCACTTTTCTCACGGCAGAATGGCTATTATCAAAAAGATTAAAGATAACAAGTGGTGGTGAACAGGTGGAAAACAGAATGATTTCATACTGTAGGTGGGAACATAAATTAATACAATCATTACGGGAAACCGTATAGAAATTCCTCAGAAAATGAAAAATAGAACTATCAAGCAACCCCACTCCTGGATAAATATCCAAGGGAAATGAAGTCAGTATGTCTAAGAGTGATCTGCACTCACATGTTCATCGCAGCACTACTCATTATAGCCAAGAAAAGGTAATAAGTGCCTGCCAACTGATGAATGGGTAAATAAAATATGGTTCACATATACAATAAAATACTATTCAGCTATAAAAATGAATGAAATCGTCATTTGTGACAACACAGATGGAACTGGGGATCATTGTATTAAGTGAAATAAGTCATGAAAACACACAAGTACTGCATGATCTCACTAATATGTGGAATCTAAAATAGGTTGATTTCACAGAAATTCAGAGTACAATGGTGGTTATCAGAGGTAGAAGAGAGTAGGGGTGGGGGATATGGTTAGGGACATGTTGATGAATAAATTGAGTTACACTTAGATAAGTACAAAAAGTTCTGGTGTGCTATTGCACAGTAGGATGACTGTAGATAACAATATGCTGTACATTTCAAAAAGCTAGAAGCAAAGATCTTGAAAGTTTTCCTGTAAAACAATGTTTGAGGAGATAAATGTTTAACCTCATCTAATATTATTCAATATATACATACCTCAAAACATCACATGATAACCCTTAATATAAAAAATTGTTTTTTATGGATCAGTTAAAATAAATTTAATTTGACTTTCTTGGTACTGGGGATCAAACTCGGGACCTTGCGCTTGCAAGGCAGGCACCGGAACCACTGAGCTAAATCCCCAGCAAAATAAATTTAATTTACAAATTCAAAAAGAAAAATAAAACTCTAAAGACACATGAGATAATTAATAAGACAAACTGCAAATTGAATAGACTTGTAAATTTCAATGAAGACTTTTAATAAGGGTTCAGAGTTAAGAGCTGAAAAAGCAGTCATCTCTTGTCAACTCACTATGGGGAACAATTCCTTCATCTGTAAACACAAACAGTAATTCTTGGCCTGCCAAATATATAATTTTTACTTCTATATGTGAAGAAGGTAATTGAAAAAAATGTCACTCATTGAAAAACAAAATAAAAAAACTCCCAAACCCAGAACTCCAAGTAACAGCATCAAATATGAGGTACACCTGAGTTCTAATCCAAGCTCTACTTACTAGATGTGTGATCTGAACAAGTTTCTCAATCTCTTTACACCTCTGTTCCTCATGTGTAAAATGAGGATAATAATAGTATCTAGGGTTGTATTACATGAGATTTAAGATGTCTGACACATAGCAAGCACTCATTAAATAATCATGATGGTAATGACATGATGATATAACACTAGTTCTAAAATTCTGAGTATATGGAGACACGAGGTACTAAAAATGTATCTTAGCACACATTTAATGATTTCAGAAGGATGTCATTCTTAGTAATCTATACATTTGTGGATTACTCAAGCTAGTCCTAATTATTGAAATTCACATTTTCTTTTCATTGCATGTCTTCTAGATAGGATAGTAAACCATAAGACTAATACTGCAATTTGTATATACAGAACAACACAGCAGTTAAGATCACGGACCCTGGAGCCAACTCATCTAAGTGCATCATCTTTGTTATTTACCAGCTGTACAATCTTGGGCAAGATTACTTAACCCTTCTGTGTGTCAGATTCTGCATTTAAGAAACAGGAATGATAATAACATTTCACCCATAAGGTTATTATAAAGATTAAATAAGATGATGTGTATATAGCATCCAGTATGTCAAAAATGTTAGCCATACTCATCATTACTCCTTAGAATCATTCTACCAGAAAAAAAGAAAAAAGATTCATTTCTGACTACTTAGAACTTCACTCTGCAGAAAGGACATAACTGATTTTTAAGTAGTAAGTAGTGTTCATGTATCCACGAACTCTCTAGTAATAATAATAAGATTCTTAAACTGGCTAGATAATGATTAAGATAAAAAGTGAATTTCTGTTTGTTTTGACTTTTTTTGTTAGTTTTTTGAGACAGGGTCTCACTATGTAGTTCAGGCTGGCCTTGAACTCACTATGTAGCTCAGGCTGGCCTCAAACTTTGGTGATCCTCCCTCTCAATCCTCCCATCTCAACCTCCCATGTGTTGGGATCAAAGGCATGAGCCACCACGCCTGGTGAGCAAAGAAAATTTTATGTTAAATCTTTTTAACTGTCATGGATGCAAAGTTAGAGAAAGCCAAGATGCCTTACCAAAATCTGTTCTAATATGACTTTCTCTGTTTTAAGCAAGTTCACTTCCTACCTTTCATCTGTATTACGAAGGGATGGAAGCCGAAAGCTCGTGTTTCTGTCAAGCTTTGACTGGCTTTTGGTCCTCTTGATGGAGCCTTTCAGGCGCTTGCTGAAGAATCCCTAGAAAGAAAATGCAGAAGGTAAGGGGAGAGAGAACCAACAGGGGAGCTTTCCCTTCTGCACTAAATTTGCACAAAAAAGGGGAGAGGGTTAGATTTTTGTAATGAAGACCTGAAATAGAATCCAGTTTTTGTTTTGTACCAGGGATCGAACTCGGGTCCTTGAGCTTGTGCAGCAAGCGGCAAGACCACTGAGCTAAATCCCCGGCCCTAGAATCCAGTTTTTAATTTTTAAATTTTGTAAGTTGTTGCTTAAAACTCCTCTTGATTATGTGATGACAGAATTTTTTTCTTCTGTGATAATTAAACTTTTGAATAGCACTAATGTTTAAGTCTTAAAGAGCTTTACACTAATTGTAGTAGAAAATCTTCTAGTTTTACTAATATATTTTTAAAAAACAACAGAACATAGGGAAATATTGTCCTTTCTATGAAGATGGTATTAGCAATTTCAATAGAAATGGTAGCCAATGATTTCCTAAAGTAAGGGAAAATAAGCAAAAAGAATAGCACATACAAAGGCTCTGACATCAGAAGGTGGTACTTGGTGCACTGGGGGATATGATAGATACTGATAATGAGATCAGAAGAAGTTTTATCATAAGCTCTCCAAAGAGTTTGCTAAGTAGTACAAAGTAATGTGTTGGTGGTCTCAAAGTATTAAGATTAGGTCTGTATGGCTCTGGATATGGCATTTGTAAAGTCAGAATTTAAATGTACAAAAATTTAAAAAATGAAATATAGATTATTCAAACATCTAGAACTTAAAAAAGTGCTTTACAATCTTTGGCTTCTTCTGGCCTCCTGCCATTTCCACCAGACTATCTGAAGTTTCTTGAACATATTCCTAGTCTCAGCACCTGGCAAATGATGGGCACACAGTAAAATTAATTGCATAAAAGAATAGATATGAGAATGAATGACACTTGTCACTACTTTAAAGAAATTTACAATTCAATTTTTGGCAGATGAAAGGACATCTGATAGAAGCAGAGAGAAGGTTGGACTTCAAAGAAAATGTAGTAATTCAAAGAAAAATATTCACATAGAAAATGACACATGGAAAAGGACTCTAATTATATTTAGATGTACAATTTATGTACAATAAACATTTCCATAAGGAAGAAAAAGAAAACTGGGCCAATATCAGCAATAAAATCTTTCATATTCCTTTAGCTAATACCAAAGCCAATGTTTTGAGGTGAAGACTGTATATTATGTTAAGCTAGGTTAATCTTATCTAATAACCTCAGGACAATCCTAGTTACATAAACAATGGGTCCAACAAAAAGAGTGGGCTTTGCTCTATGCTGTTCTTATTCAGGAACTTTAGCCAAGGGAAAGGCCATTTCTGTACTTCAACTGCCTCAGTAGATTAAAGGTAATATAACAACTTAGGTATAATCATACACTACATAACAATGTTTTAGTCCACAGTAAACCACATATATGACAGTGGTCCCATAAGATTATAGTAGAGCTGCTGGGGATTTAGCTCAGTGGGATTGTGCCTGCCTCACAAGCGCAAGGTTGTGAGCTCGATCCCTGGTACCAAAACAAAAACCAACAACCGCTCCCCCCAAAACCAAGATTATAATGGAGCTAAAATATTCTTATCACCTAGTAATTTTAGTATATCTTTTTTAGGTTTAAATACACAAATATTTACTATTGCGTTATGATTGGCTATGTCATGCAGTACAGTAACAAGTTGTACAATTTTGAAGCCTTGGACAAATAGGCTGCATCTCATAGCTTAGGTGTGTAGCAGGGTATACCATCTAGATTTGTGTAAATATATTCTATGATATTTGCACAATGATGAAACTGCCTGCTAACACATTTCTCAGAACGTATCCCCATCATTAAGTGACACATGTCAAGAGTACTAGCTTTTAAAGTTTCACATCAATTTTGGTCTCATTTCATTGAAAAAAAAATCCAATGAACCCAGTAAATTTCAATGGGGAAGGGATATACAATCCTACCACATACCTAGAAAGAGAACTGTAAATATTTGGTGAATAGCAGCATGGACTATCTATGATGTATCACTGTACCACTCCAAATATTTTTTAAACACTAGACACTGCTCCATTCATTGAGAGAAAAATGTAGACAAACATTTCAATCTTAAGTAAAACAATCTAGATGACTAAAGAAAAATGCTTATGTTATATTCTGTTGTTTTTGATACCCAAAGAATAAGTGTAGGGCTTGGGTGTAGTTCAGTGGCTTAGCAAACATGAGGCTCTTGGTTCAATTCCCAATAACCTCCTAGGAGTACAAAACCGCCTAGAAAATATCACATATATGATATGTATTTGTCAAAGTGATTTTGTATTCCAGCTCATTATAGGTTTATAAAGATTGGAGGAAAGAGAAAAAAGCTATTTTTAAAAGTACAATATTACTTAGAGATAGCCATGTGCCTGGTCTAATTTTAGTGTCACTAGGGGAGTTCTCTAAGGCAAAGGCTTTATTTACTATTTTCTATGACTCAGTCAGAATGAGTCACCATATTTTCTCATAAGACTAGATAATAGAATTCTATTAGGATGGTTAAAGTTGGTTCAAAAATCATTAGCTTAAGTGGAGATAGAGTCCAGGGACTTGACAAGGAGTTATAAAGGAACCAAAGATAAACACAAATTCTACCTTAGAGGTGCTTGTAATTGAATATATATATATTTGTAGATTAGCTATGGCTGAAGAATCTCTGATCATAAGGATGTATCAATAGCAATCTCCAAAAACAATATGAAACCATTTCAAAAAAACAAACAAACAAGGATAGAATATCCAAGGACTGTGGCACAACTATAAAAGGTGTAACATACATATATAATGGGAATACCAGGAGAAGAAAGTAACAAAAGAAATATCTAGAATGATAGAGTAGACGTTTTTCCAAATTAATGTCAGACACCAAATCACAGACCCACAGAGAATGCCTCTCTGCATAAATGCCAAAACAAATAAACAAAAAAACCACTATACTTACATGTATTTCAAAGTAAAGAAAAACAAAGATAAAAATAATTCCTGAAAGAAGCCAGAGGCTTGGAAAAACCACTTTATGTATAGAAGAAGAAAGATAAGAATTATATCTGATTTTGTAGAAACCTTGGAAGCAAGGGAAAGAGTGAAGTGAGATATTTAAAGTGGTGGGAGTAAGAAGCCAAAAACCAAAAAAACACCATCCTAGAATGCTGCACCCTGTAAAATCACTCCTCAAAAAGAGGAAGAAAGATGTTTTCAAACAAAAACTGAGGGACTTTGTTGCCAATAGACCTGCCTGGCAAGAAATGTTAAAAGAAGTTCCTTAGAAGGAAAATGACATAGGTCAGAAACTTGGATTTCCCTATAGAAAAGAAGATACTGAAGAAGGAAGAAGTGAAGGAAAAAGAAAGCCTTTTATTTTTCTTATTCTTAATTGATTTGAAAGATAACAATTTGTTCAAAATAAATAGTAACAATGTATTCAATTATGTATGCTTATGTATGTATCACATATACATTTATAAGTAAAATGAATAAGGCCAATGATACAAAGGATGGAAGGGAGAAATTAAGATTATTTTGTTACAAGGTACTCACAATACCTGTAAAGAGGTATAATGTTTCTTGAAAGTGGATTTGGATTAGTTGTAAGCATATATAGCACACACTAGGCCATCCACTAAAAAAAAAGTAAAACTAGTAATATAACTGATATGCCATGAAGGGAGAAAAATAGAATCAAGCAAAATGCCCAATTAAAACTATGAAAATCAGAGAAAAAGTGAAGGACAAAAACAGAACACAGCAAGGGCAATAAATAGAAAATAGTAAGAAATATGGTAGACAGTGATCTATGTCAGTAATTACTTCAAATATCAACAGTCTAAATGCACCAATTCAAAGGATACTGTCAGAGTGGATCAAAAAACAAGACCCAACCACATGCTGTCTAAAAGAAGCCCACGTTAATGCCCCCGCCGCTGCACCCTCGCCTCCGCTGCCCTGGGCACCACTGTCGCTGCATCGCCGCCGTGTCCCGCGGCCTGGCTGCCTCGCGTCTCGCCGAGTGAGAACGTGGTGAGGGCGGTTCGGCACTCCTCTCTGTAAGTATACTTCTTAATTACCTATCAGATTTCAATTGCTTTTTATCAGTCTCTCTTAAATCAAAAGTGGAACTACAGAAATAGATGGAAGTATGAAGGGGAAATTTTTTAATGTGCTGATCTTGAGCTGGCCATGGAACATAAATATGCAAGTACTTACTTGCTGCTTGCTGCCATGTGCCTGCCCTGCTTTGCCATGGACTGTTTATCCTCTGTGATGACCCTCTGCCATCCCACCATGCTTTGGAGCCAGCCAACTATGGACTGAAACCTCTACTAACTGGACTCTCACAAGCCTGCTATCAACTTAACAGCCATGTCTACACTGATCTCAAGATTCAACTGGGAAAAATTTCACTTCTAAGCTAACACAAGATTAGTTGCCATCAGCATTCAGTACCTAGAGTGTTGACAGACTGAGGAGCCTCAGTTTCTTCTGGGAGTTAGCTTGAAGCTACATAAATTCTTTGCAACATTGGAGCACTTAGAATGGCAAGCTGAGAAAGAGACAGACAGAGAGAGGCACAGAGAGAGAGACACACACACACAGAAGGACAGAGAGATAAAGACAGACTATTTGAAAGGGAGAATATCAGAGTACTAGGAAGATGAAAGTCACAAATTTTTTTGCAACTTAGTCATAGAACATAAGAAAATTAGTGTTATGAAATTCTATTTCTTAGAAGCAAGTTATTAGGTCAGGCCACATTCAAGGAAGGAGGGAGGTATGCGCAAGTGCGTGAATACCAGGAGAAAGTGATACTGAAACTGTCTACCACTTACCCAGCACCTAATACACTAGGAATTTCTTGTTTGCTTGTATATCATCAAATATCCTTTATCTGATATTCCTTCCTTATTTTTATTCTCACTTTCATAGTATATGAAAATTTCC